CACTTCTCACTGGTAGAAATTAATGTGTAATAATATCTCAGATGTTATGTCTCGGTGGTCCGAACTGTATTCCGGAAACTTCGGCGGCAGATTCTGCAGATAAAAATAAGCAAAAAAGTTTGTATAAATGTATGCCCTTAAATGCTTAGTTTCGGAGATACAGGGTGTAGAAATTTCATTTTTATTTCGATTTTTTTCCAAATAATTTCTGAAGTAACGTCAATATTTGGATGAAAATTAGTGTCTGAGAGTTTTTTGGCATGAGAAATTTGATTTTGATGTCAATATAGCTCCTATTTGTAGGGGTCGCCACCTACCTGTGTTTTAACTGTTTTGAAGAGTAATAACTTTTCTTCTTTGCCGGTATAAAACTGTTGAGTGAAAAAATATACATTTTCGTGACGTTTTACGTAAAAAATGTCTCCTGGTAAAAATTGTTACGAGCAACCGTTCTGAAGATATTTAGAATGGAAATAGTCAATACATATTATTATTGACAAAAAATAAACACGCGTTGAGTAGATAGTTATTTAACTGAAATAATAAATTTGGAAATTTTTTATTTTTTTAAATTAATCATAAATTTTCTGTAAAAAATGATAATTAAACAGTTTCTGTTGAACTTTTGACACAAAAACATTTCAAATTTATGATTTCAGGCTAATAACTATTTAGTCAACATGTTTAATATATGTCAATGATGACAGGTATTGATAATTTCGATTCCAAATATCTCGAGAACCATTACTCGTAGCGATTTTACAGAGATCTTTTTTATGTAAAAAACATCGTAAATGTATATTTTTTTACTCAGTAGTTTTATACAGGTACGGACGAAAAGTTAATACTCTTCAAATTAGTTAAAAAATATGTAGGTGGCGCCCTCTACAAGTAAGAGTCATATTGACATCAAAATCAAATTTCTCATGTCAAAAAACTCCCAGACACCAATTTTCATCCAAATATTGACGTCCTTCAGAAATTATTTGGAAAAAATCGAAATAAAAATTAAATTTTTACACCCTGTATCTCCGAAACTAAGCATTTTTGGACATACATTTATACCAACTTCTTTACTTATTTTTATTTGCAGAATATGCTGCTGAAGTTTCCGGAATACAGTTCGGACCACCCTGTATATTATTGTAAGAAGATTATAGTGTTATTATTTTTTATTTAAATATAAACAGGGCGTTCTTTTTCAGAAAAGCTAGGATTTTAGAAATTAACTTAGGATAGATGACCTTAAGGGAGTTTAATACTTTTTTACATTTTTGTAAGTTTTTAAACAAATTTTGATTTAAATCAGGTATAAACATACACGATTTGTCTGAAAATGTTCTTTTTTTTAAGTACCGGTAGCGATTAATATATATTTTAAATAAGTTTTTACAACTATCTATAATTAAGCTATACTAATTTTTAATTTATTTCTAGTTAATTAGTAAAAACATATTTGCCCCTTCTAATTTTGTTTTGTTTTGTAGCGTATAGATTTCCACCGGATATATTATTGGTCACTAATAAATAATAATTAAGTTTTAACTTCCTTTACTAGATGGTAATGATAACGGCAATACGCTTTTACTCAATTATGGAATTTGAATGAACTTAATGAATTTTATTTTATTTATATAATATTTTTAAAATCATATTTTTAAATAGAAATATAATTTAAATAATCTTCTTATTGAGTATAAGACGAATAAAGTATCAACTTAGATATACTAACAAAACTGAACTGAAGTGCGAAAATGCAGTAAAATAGTATCTTTTGTTTCTATAGCAAAAAAAAAGATATTGTGCTTTCTATTCTAAGGAAAATTGGAGAGGCATACCACAGGTATGCCTCTCCTCTCTTATAAGGCCATGTAAACGTCTGTATATCTCTTTAAGTGTTTTTTCTGAAGTTTCAGTCGCATATCACCTTTCACTCAGTTATGTTTTACAATTTAGAATTTTAAATGTCCTCGATAAAATTACAATTCATAAAGTCTTGTTTTTTTTCTAGACTGACTGTTATTACGTAGCTGTAAATAAAAACCTAGCCTAAAGTAATAAAATCTAAATTCTATGCAATTAAACCCTATTGGAATTTGCCCTTATAGAAATAAAATAGGAAATTATAGATATACCTAGATCGATGTGTATTTTAATTTTATTTGAAACTGTGAATATTTTTTCTTCTTTTCCTTCTAAGCATGCATTCATGTTTCTTCTTCTTCTATCTCTATTCTACGTGCAAGGCACATAGTGTTTTTGATTGCATGGAAGATAAGAAATATGAACCTAGGCATGTTGTGTTGTGTGGTGTTTTGTATTAGGAGAACTTGGAAAGTCGTTCTAAATATATAGGGTATTCCAAACAGATGAGACGAATCATTACTAATATAGTATAATATAGTAATATATGTGTCTCATAGAAGAAAATATGCTCTATCTTTGTAAAATCAAAACTATTCAGGGTAACTGATTGCAAATGCTATTCTTAGGAAAGGTTTGAAATTTAAATTTGCTATTATTAAAAATAGCACTTTTTACAAGAATTTACTGATAGTTTTAGCTCTCTCTATACTATTCGTGAATATATACCGGGTGGTGCATCGTCGTTGGAAACATAGGAAATCCCATGCAAATTTTGAACTATCCAGATATATGACTATTGTCGTAAATAGATTTTTTTAAGGTCCACGTTTGGAAAAACACACATGCAAAATTTGACCAATTTTTTACAAGCCGATTTTGAATAATTTGAGACAAACTGAATCGTTTTTTAAATTAAAACTGAATAGGCAACAATCAAACGCCAGTCTAAAATCGACATGTTATAAGTTGTCAGCGTCATTTTCGAACTCAACTTAATTTTAATAAAATTTTATTATTCAGTACTAGTAATAATTTATTGTTATACACATAAAGAAAAAGTGAGTATGATAAAACGGCACTACGCGGGAAATAGCTTAAACAGTGTATCCGACATGTTTCACAGTTAATTTTCCCTGAATATTAAAATTAAATTATTTTTGATTATGACAAAATCATAGTTTGTAAGTCTATGGTATGTCAGTTTTTGACTGGTTTTTTCTAATTGTTACCTGTTTGGTTTTAATTTCAAAATAGATGCAATCTTTCTTAAATTACTCAAAATCGGCTGGTTCAAAATTGTTCAAATTTGGCATGTGTATTTACCGTACATAAACCTTTAAAAAACCTATTTACGACTTCGCTGTAAAATGAGTAGGGGAGCCTATATTTGAATAGTTCAAAATTTGCATGGGATTTCCTATGTTTCCGACGACGATGCACCACCCGGTATAGCAATACCCCGAAGTATGTGAAGGTTTGATAGTAAAGGGGACATTTTGTATTTCCTCGCCTAACTTTATCTGATCTCGGCTTACTTTCATTACTCGAAGAAATACGGAAGGGGATTATTCACAACCTTCATATACTTCGGGCTCATTTTTGTAAAGTGTAGAGAGCGCTAGAAAAATAAAGCAAATATGAATAAGAAAAACTGCGTCAAGATTTTGATATTTATTTTCTGTAAATTTATAGGGATCTATTTTCGTTTTTAATGTAAGTTGGTATTTTTCCTTCATACGGTACTTGATATAAGAAAGATATATTTATACACCTTCCTCATTACTATCCAGTTTATAAATATCTACAAAATTGGAAAATGTGATTTATTTTGTGAAAATGTTTTTATTGAAGCAAAAGAAATATTTCATTAAAAAATGTTTCAAAAGTTTTTAGCTAGAAAAGTCTTAACATGTATAAACATGTTAAAGTAAATAAAAATGTTAGCAAATATGTGCTACTGATAAGATTAAGGCGACTTGGAATGCCCTATATTATTATCCGGTCCAGCTACCAAAACCCGTGTGTTTTTACAAGGGAGTCTATTTTTTATGATTCTAAATAATTTTTGAGGTGTTAACGTTGAAATTAAGAGTGGAAGTCATTTCGCTTTGGTCGCTAAAGCAAATTATACAATAAGAATAATAAATAAAGGTTGAAATAGATAAGATGTTTTCTCTCGAAAACTGTAAGTAGTTAAACAACCAGTGAGGCATCTACGGATAGAGCTAGTGGAGCTCTATATTCCATCATTTAAACTGTGCTTCGAAAATGCATAGTTTCCGAGTTTAAAAAATCCAATTTTTGATTTATTAACTTTTTTTACTTTTCTCACCTGGTACGGTTAGAATACGTTAATATAAGAATTCTTAATTCCATTTGACGTCCTTTTTACGTTATATTTTTAAAAAAAATACGAAAATTAAAAAATGGGGTGTTTTATTTTTTTTTCTCACCCTGTTTGTACTTTTTTGACAAACTGTCGATACTAAAGAATTTAACTAATTGATCTGAATTGATCCACGCCCACAAATCTTTCAAATCGAAATAAGTGGAAAAAGCTCGATTTTGACTGGGAAATTTTTTAGAAACTTTCGAAACACAGTTTAAATGGACTATTATAGGGCTCCACTAGCTCTACCCGTAGAGGGAACATTTTATTTTTATTAGCACCTTTATTTTTATTTCTGCTGGTATAATTTAATGTAGCGATCGAACGACGAAGTGACTTCCACGCTTAATTCGACACTTTAAAAATTATTTAGAATGGTAAAAAAATCCCCCTAAAAAAGCTCACAGGATTTAATATCTCGACCGGTCTATATAGACTTATAAATTATAATTGTTATTACTTTAAAATATTCTATTGGGTTTGCTTTCTGACATTGTGTTAAAGTATAAAATACTTTGTATGAGAATAAAAGATAACGTTCAGCAAATGTGACAAATTATTTTAAAGAATTAACAATTATAAGTATATTAAAAATTGGATTATATGGTGCTAAATTAAATTATCAAACTAATACCTATTATGTCTCTGAAAATCCTTCTGAAATGATTTTTAGCATATATGATCTAGAAAACTTGGTAAACTCAGTCTTACAAAATTCTTGGCTTAATTCAAATTTCACTTTTAGGTCTACTAGGGGTAACGTCCTCCCTCAACCCAAACGGGGTTGGTCTCGAATCAAATCCAGCATTTTTAATGGCGAGACCCCTGTGTGACACGAGCCCAAACAGCTCTGCGACGCCGCAGGATACCAAGGTGACCCTGGCGCAAGATTCTGGACAGTGTCATACCACTACAGTCAAGACTTAGCAGACTATAGTGCCGACTAGCAAAAGAATAGAAGAAAATCATCCTATGCGATATTAATAGGAAAAAGAGTTTATATATGCTACTAGGGTTTCCGGTTGTGTTTCGGAACCAGAAATTTCGATACCGTGCCTCTAAGGAATCGGGATTTTACTAGTTTTTTCTGTATTTTCGGTACTAAGAAATGTATTGTTGAATGAAGCAAGGGATGGTTTTCCAAAGTAAAATTGAAAAAAATCAGTTTTAAATAAAAATAATATCAGTTATGAGAAAATTAACATGAACACCAATGGGGGGAGGGGGGGAGCATAAACGAAAACAAAAACAACTAAAAAAACATAGGTACTTAATCTAAAATTTACATCAAACCAACTTAACTAAATTTAAAAAAAAAATTACATTTTCTTTGAATTAAAAATGCAAATACAAGGTGAGTTTCCTACGATGTTCTTTATGGGTATCTCGGAAACTACTGGAGATAGAGAGTCGGTTAAATGGGGAAAGAATTGCAGTTTTGTGGGGTCATAAATAAGCGCCTTTCAGATTTTTGAAAAAGTTCATGGCTTACTAGATATTTAAAAAAAAACAAATTTCGGCTCTTTTAAAAATTGTCCCAATTCCATTATAAGCTATTTTAGACAAAAAGTTTTCAGATAAAAGTTGTAGATAATCACATCCTTAATGAGATTGTTTCCTCCGTTTTTTTTCTAAAGCCTGTCATTTTTGACATATGACACAAACATATGTTTTTTTAAATGGAAACCCATGACTTCATAAAAAGCGCCATTTCTTAAGCTTTTCAGCGATATAAGCTATAATATGTTTTCTTCGAAAAATTACTGAGTTATAGCCAATTCTTATCATTTTTAAACAATTTCACTTAGTTAGCCATGGAAACAAGTTTAATCGCCTTTGCTCTCATCAATGTGAAGCTGTCACATTCAAATTTTGTAAATTAAAATAAACAAAAATTGTAAATATGAAATTTTCAAATGAAGAAAAGCATCTAGGATTATTGGTTCAACTTTTCCTGACCACATGTACATTTTCGAGAATACGTTGACCGGTGAATGTTACGTTTTTTAGAGAACGGTTTTCAAGACATGTTAGGAAAGTTAAATTTAGTTATAGCCAATTCTTATCTTTCTTGACTAATTTTACTTAGATTGTATTAGATCACTTATATTTCACTTAAATGGTAGTCTATTCTGGTATGGTATCCTTATTCTGTTATGATTTATAACTTATAAAAAGTCAGTATATATTACTAAACGGTTTTTTACAATTTACATTATACAAACTAAAACTTAAAAAATAATATCACTACATACACTTTAAGTTATTTTAGAAAATGTTCAAAAAATTCGTCACTGTTTTGAGTTGGATCTTTTTAAAACTGAATTACTACCTATTCTCACAGAAAGAACGGTCGACTTCTCTCGTACCGCCACTTCTTTCAAGTTCTTTTGTAAACCTTAATGTTAACCATACCGCATAAAAAATCTAAAATGGATAGGTCAGGTGATCGAGGAGGCCCATGCAATTGGTCCACCTCTCTCTATCCCTGAGTTTGCATAATTATGATGTAAATAATTTTTAACATTTCTTTCATTATGGGGGAGGTCATAATGAAAGTCATCTTGGAACCACTCTATTTATGCGCAAGTAACTACATGCTTTTCTTCATTTGAAAAACTCATAGTTTGGTTTGGTTTGGTTTGTTTTTTTTATTTATACAATTTTTTTTATTTTAATTTACAAGTTTGGATGTCACAGCTTCACATTTCTGAGAGCAAAGGCGATTGAATGAGAGAGCAACGGCGGTTTCCATGGCTAACTAAGTGAAATTCTTTAAAAATGATAAGAATTGGCTATAACTCAGTAATTTTTCGAAGAAAACATATTATAGCTTATATCGCTAAGAAGCTTTAAAAATGGCGCTTTTTATGAAGTCATGGCCAACTATGGTTTCCATTTAAAAAAACATGTTTTTGTCATATGTCAAAAATGACAGGCTTTAGAAAAAAAAACGGAGAAAACAATCTCATTAAGGATGTGATTATCTACAACTTTTATCTGAAAACTTTTTGTCTAAAATAGCTTATAATGGAATTAGGGACAATTTTTAAAATAGCTGAAATTTGTTTTTTTCGAAATATCTAGTAAGCCATGAACTTTTTCAAAAATCTGAAAGGCGCATATTATTATATATTATTTATGACCCCACAAAACTGCAATTCTTTCCCCATTTAACCGACTCTCTATCTCCAGTAGTTTCCGAGATACCCATAGAGAACATCGTAGGAAACTCACCCTGTATATAAAAATTAACATAAAATACCGTATGGTCGAAAAAAAAACGGCAGCAGAGACGGCTGGTGAGTGGAAATGGATGATAATTTTAGCGAGGTCAATCTCTAGATGTCATTTACTGAAAATTGACATATAACTTATCAAACATTAACGCTAATTATAGAAAGATTAAAACAGGATAGAACGTTTCCAGACACACAAATCTGTTTCCAAAAAAATATTTTTTCTCGAATTTTAAACTACTCCGTTTAAAAAGTTTTAACTCAATATAAAAATAAATGTTCATTTAGCAAAAACTTTTAAATAAATAGCAATATATAGGTATAGGTCAAGTAAATGACGTCCAGGTCTTGACCTTGCCAAAAGTATAATCGATTGTCATTCCCCAGCCGTCTTTGACTCCGTTTTTTCGATCGTTGAGCAACATTATACTAAATAATAAAATAACATATATCTAAATATTAATAATTGCCACTAAACATTATAGAAACTTCAATAGAACTTTAGAAGTATGAACATCACTACTTATTTAAAAGTATTTGATTTCGACCGCTTGAAGTTGCTAAATATTGTTACTGAGTTCCGAAAATACCGAAAGAACTACTGAATTAATAAAGTCGAGTTTCGGTTCTTTGATGTCTCTAAAGAAACGGAAATTCCCGATACATTCGGTATCGGGATTTCCCTGTTCTGAACCCTATGTGCTACTTATCAAAAGTACCATTTAAATTAAACTTTGTTATAGAGGATATAATTACAAAAATTTATATTTTGGTCTCATTTTTCTTTCTTTTTTAAAAATAATTTACGTCAAAATATGTTCAAATATGTAGTTTAAAAGATACCCTGGCCAAGTAGCATTTTTAACATAAATCGTATCCGTGAACATAAGATAATTTTATTAGTAGGCCGAACAAAATTAATTTAAATATTAAAAGTAGTTTATATTTTTAGCTAATAAGTGTACTTTTAGAGTATGTTACGCTGCGCTGCTTACTAAAAATATTTTTTTTTAAATTATGAAGGTCTTGGGTAAAAATATATGGGATCTTGTAATCTATTAGAAATATGTACTTTGGCGAAATTCTCCCGAGACTTCATTATATATACCGAGATCATACTTGATATTTTTCTCATTCTCTAAAACCGTTCATGTTAATTGCTGATGAATTGAATATATTCTTTTAAAAACTTTTAGACACGTTTTTCTCTATCAGTTTAATATCGGAAATAAACAGTTACATGACCAAATATTTGTGATACATATTTAATTATTATTTGTGATAAATGTTGGATGCTTAATAATAGGAATAGAGAAAAACATATCTTCTAAAATAATTTACAGCAATCTAATTAAAATTGCAACACCAATTTATAAATTTCTTTATACAGCTGGTATGTTTGGAAACGGTCGATTGTTGGACAAAGTATACGAGGTAGTTAAATACAAAAGTTATAGTAGGGTTTTGAAATACCTAACATCTTGTAATACATTTAAGTATACAGGGTCGCTCATAAAGTCGTGGCACCTCAAAGTTTAATTTTTCTAAATGGAACCCCCCTTTATATTATTGGGTATTTCAATTGTTTCTTCAGTTTTAAGCAAAAATTGTAATACATATCATGTACCTAAATCCAACCGTTTCCGGTTAATAAAATAAAAGACAATAGAAGTTCTATATTATTTTAGTGTATGTTATGTTAGAAATGCAGTATGATCGAAAAAAACGGCGTCCAGTTGGCTTATAAATGATCATCGATGACATTCCCCATATAATTTTACATATAAAAAAATAACAGCGATCTTCATTTCATAGCCATCGCTGAAGCCGTTTTTTTTTCGATCATATGGTATGTCATATAATTTACCCAAACAAAGACAGAGCAGAGATGTTTCAATTTGTCACTAAAAATCACTGGAAAATAAACTAAAAAATAGTCTTGGTTTATAAAATACATTACTAAATACCGTATGATTGAAAAAAATGGCGTCATAGACAGCTGGGGAATGACATTTGATGATAATTTTGGCGAGGCCAATCTCTAGATGTCAATTAATAAAAATTAACATAAAATCAAAAATTAACACTAATTAAAAGCTTAATAAGTTTCTAGACACATAAATCAATTTCCAAAAAAATATTTTTTTTTTCGAATTTTAAACTACATCATTTAATGGTTAGTTATTTTTTATACAAGGCGATAAAATGGTATGTTATCATCGACCGAAAAGATTAATTCACGAGCGATGAAATCGCGAGTGAATTAATTTCGGGAGACGATAGTGCAATTTTATCGTCGTGTATAAAACAATATTTTATCCATAGCCAGTTACGTTTTAAAAAATATTCAGAAATTATTATTTCAAGGAATTTATTACGAGTAGAAAAAATATTCTGCTGGGTTGGTGTTGGTTTCTATGTAATTTGACAAATAAATAAAGCTATCTCTTTAGTTGTCAGTTTTGAGTCAATATTTTTTAATTCTCTTTCGTGTCGATTGCTGATTGAATTGGAGCCAGAAATGGCTCAAAACCAAATAAGTAAATTACCAACAGATATTCAGGCTGATTCGACAAACGCCTTATCCAAACTACTTCCATTTAAATCCCGAATAACTTATGAAAAGGAATACAAAAATTTTCAAAAATGGACGCAATTAAAAAACGTGCGAAAAGAAATAAAGTTTTTAATCTATCCGCGCTGTCAAAGTATCATTTAATCTACCCTTGAGCTTAAAGTACTATTTTATCTACTATATATATATATATATATATATATATATATATATATATATATATATATATATATATATATATATATAT